CTTACATGTCTGTTTTTATGCTAATACCATACTGTCTTGATTACTATAACTTTGTAATATAGTTTGAAGTCAGAAAGTGTGATGCTTCCACCTTTGTGCTTCTTTCCCAAGATTGCTTTGGCTATTTGGGGTCTTTTGTGATTCTCTACAAATTTTAGGATTTTTTTTGTTTGTTTCTTTCTATGAAAAATGCCATTGGAATTTTGGTAGGGATTGCACTGAATCTGCAGATTGCTTTGGATAGTAAGGACATTTTAACAGTATTAATTCTTCCATAAGCAGAGAATATCTTTCCATTTATTTGTGTTGTCTTCAATTTCTTTTGTCAGTGTCTTACAGTTTTTAGCATACAGTTCTTTCACCTCCTTGGTTAAATTTATTCCTAGGTATTTTATTCTTTTTGATGCAATTGTAAGTGGGATTGTTTTCTTAATTTCTTTCTTTTTTTTTTTTTAAAGATTTTATTTATTTATTTGAGAGAGAGAGAGTGTGCACAAGCGGGGGGAGAGGGACAAGCAGACTCCCCACTGAGCAGGGAGCCTGACGTGGGACTCCATCCCAGGACTCTGGGATCATGACCTGAGCCGAAGGCAGATGCTTAACCGACTGAGCCACCCAGGCACTCCCTTAATTTCTCCTTCTAATAGTTCATTATTAGTGTATAGAAATGCAACAAATTTTTATCTGTTGATTTTGTGTCCTGCAGCTTTACTGAATTCATTTATTCTAGCAGGTTTTTGGTGGAGTCTTTAGAATTTCTTCTTTTGTTTTTGTTTTTTTTAAAGATTTTTATTTATTCATTTGACAGAGAGAGACACACCGAGAGAGGGAACACAGGCAGGAGGAGTGGGAGAGGGAGAAGCAGGCTTCCCGCTGAGCAGGGGGGAGCCCAATGCAGGGCTTGATCCCAGGACACCGGGATCATGACCTGAGCCAAAGACAGATGCTTAACGACTGAGCCACCCAGGCGCCCCCCGCCAGTTTCATTCTTTTACATGTGGCCATTTGTTGAAGAGACAGTCTTTTTCCCCATCTTATATTTATTCCTCCTTTGTCAAAGATTAATTGACCATGTAATTGTGGATTTATTTCTGTGTTTTCATTCTCATGGACCACTCTTACGGCATCACATAAAAGAATGTAGTTCATTGTTTTCACAGCCATCTTCCTTGCTAAACAGTGTCCTTCTTCTTCAATATCAGGGAAATAGGGCGCCTGGGTGGCTCAGTTGGTTAAGCGACTGCCTTCGGCTCAGGTCATGATCCTGGAGTCCCGGGATCGAGTCCCACATCGGGCTCCCTGCTCGGCGGGGAGTCTGCTTCTCCCTCTGACCCTCTTCCCTCTCGTGCTCTCTATCTCTCATTCTCTCTCTCTCAAATAAATAAATAAGATCTTAAAAAAAAAATCAGGGAGGTGCCTGGGTGGCTCAGTTGGTTAAGCGACTGCCTTCGGTTCGGGTCATGATCCTGGAGTCCCGGGATCGAGTCCTGCATCGGGCTCCCTGCTCGGCGGGGAGTCTGCTTCTCCCTCTGACTCTCTCCCTTCTCATGCTCTCTCTCTATCTCATTCTGTCTCAAATAAATAAATAAAATCTTAAAAAAAAAATCAGGGAAATAACCTGATTTTTTTCTATATCCCCAACTCCAGTTCAGCCTCTTTATTCCTAGATATTCCATCAGTGGACCCAGGACGTGGGGTAGATTCAGTGCTGTACTGAAGGGCTCTCAGTACAGCCCTTAGATACCCCTCCTTGGAAATGAATACCGTCGTGACCTTGACTTTCTGGCCTTACCTCTCTTTTTGCTAATAACCAGCCAGTGCATGAGACTGGTAATTTTTTCCGATAGGATCTTGAAATACAGAATGATCAGGCCCTTATATCTTTAAAGGATGGTTTGGAAATTGAGGTCCAGGCCAGGCCTTGAGGGAGTGGGGGGTCCGACATATCAATTTGATTAGGGCAATTGTATTTAGTTGTAAATTTGGGGAGTATGGAGCTGGAAGGGCAGGGGTAAGATGGGGTCCATGCAGATGGAGGTAACCTAGGTCTAGTTATACTGTTACTTAAAAAAAAAGATCTGATGAGACTGTTATAGATATTTGTCCAAGGAACACATTCTGGAAAGAGAATTGGTAAGGAAGCAAACTGATATATATAG